AGCTGTACTTTCATGGGACAAGAAGAGAGTGTAAAGTGGGCGACAATGGACACACGAGGCTCTGCGAATCTTGGAGGTGCTCGCTATGTCTCATCATGAGGCGTGGTTTTGATATGACCAAAGTGGGTACTGGTACCGGGTTCCTAAGGTGAGGGACGCTCATTTCGTGGTAGGTGGTGCCCAGCTCACACTGAATAGATTTGGGTCTGGTATCTATACAACGGCTACCTCTTCCAAGTGAGATACGTTATTCATCGACAAAGAAATTTATTGACTATTCCAGGGCCAATGACTATTCACAAAATTCGATATATTCACCGAGAAAAGCAATGCTACTTAATAAGGTACGCGCAAAATTTACGAATTTACCGATATTTTCGGGATAACAAATTAGGAAGGTGATCGTTGGGAGTGGAAAGACGTTATATTGGGGAGATCCCAGTCTAACCTCACCTCCACCGGGCTTTGATAGTGTAAGTCGTGTTCATATTCCTCCTCTATTAATGCTAAAGATTTTTCAGATCATCGGGGAACCAGGTTAGGGTGACTTTACTCAATAAATCGATCACTAACAGGTCTCCCCTTAAGCCAAAAACGGAAGAGGGGAGCTCAACTACGATGAGCTGGTAGTATACAACGAAAAAGCCATCATTCCAGCATTTCTGGTCATCTATACCCCTTGATTTTGTTGTTAACATGTAGATCCTCGTGCCATCTTACCTTGTGAACTCTTGTATAGAAGTAGGCTTTGCTTGTATGGTTGGTCTAAATCAGATATATTCTATACCAGTGAGATAAGCACGTTGCTCAGACTCCTCTTATCCAAGAGTTGGAAAATAGGGTCGATTGGTCGGTGCAAGTTGCCCCTGTTCTCCCCCGGGCGAATCATACCCGCGTTGATTTGACGCCCCATTGGTATGTTTTCCAAAGTTCTCGTGCACATAAAAGAAGCCTTTCAATTCGAAATTTCGATGGAGAATGACGGATCAAGAGATTCCCAAGGGGTAGGTTCTGCCTTCAAAGCTGGCCGTTAAGCCATTAACATACTCTAATAAAGGATATGGAGCTCTGTGAAATTCCCCATTGTGGTACTCTCATAAGACCCGGAGAGACCTTATGCGAGAGACACAAAAACAGGTGTGTGCATAATGAATCATGAGCCACGTTACTACCACTCACAAAAAACAACACCACGTCTAGGATGTCCGAATCGAGAGATCAAAGAGATTTTGGACCTCATGATTCCCAAACAAGAAATCACCCAAGAAACCACCATCATGGTCATCATCACGGTGATATGGTCTCTCACCATCGCTCTCCTCCACCTGGTAGCTATGAAAGCAGCTGGACTCCATACCGCAATGAACGAGTCGGTCTAGTACTCTGTCGGTATCCTAACTGCGACAAGCCGGTTCACCCTGGAGGCATCTGTTGCTCCTTCACCCACCGAGAGTGCGAAATCAGGCCTTCATATTGTCTATTGAATGCTAATTGACTGCCCATAGTGGTTATATTAGCTCAGCAATAGCCCAAGCGGCAGCTTCCGAGTTCGATGCTCTTTATACCAGGATCGCCTCACCAGGATTCAGCTCTTATACACCTACTGGGTATCCTAGAAAAATCAAATTCTACCGCCGGGATCAACCATTCTATGAATTTACAAACTTTTCCAGTCATATGGTCCGATACAGGGATAAGAAGTATCTGACAAGTGAACATTTATTCCAATCGCTTAAGGTTGACAATGCTCACTGTTATCAACTTCATTTTCTTTCTGATAATTGATATTTAGTTTGAAGATGAACTAGACCAAGAGAGAATTCGCCAGCAAAACACTCCAAGAGACGCCTTGGAAGAAGCGCAAAGAATGCGGGATAGAGTGAGAGAAGGATGGGTAGAACATGATGTTAGTATTCAAATGGTAAGACACGTATAATTGTAACCTGGATGACCGGCATGATAATTTTGCAGATGCTTACTACCCTCTTGCATAAGTTCACACAACATGATTCGCTTAGACAGAGACTATTGTCCACGGGGGACGCAATATTGATCGAAGTAGGTCACATTATGCAACGGGGAATGACCCTTACCGTTGACTTCCCCTTTTAGGATTCTCCTACGGATCCGTTCTGGGGCTCTGGAAAAGACGGAAGCGGAGAAAATTATCTCGGTAGACTATTGATGGATATTCGAAAGGGGATGAGAGATCTTCAGGAGGAACGAAGAAGACGTTTCGAAGCGATGTATTGATTGGCCTATGCTCCAGAGAGCTATATCTGCATACCACACTTCATTGTACTTGTAAAGGATCCAGATAAATGCTGCAGTTAATCAGTTCTAGCA